ATGATTAATACCCTCCACAATAAAAATGATTAATCAACCTCTCATAATTACAAAAAAATGAACAAAATGAAAAATTATGATTGGTTGAATGCGGTTTGCACAGTTTGTACAAATTGAGTGGTTTGCATTTGATTGCTCCCCTATATATGTATATATAGGTTAAATTGGGGTTGGGCCTAAAAAAATCAACGTTACCGCTCAATCGTTCGCAGTCGCTGCCCCTCTCTCTCTCGTCCTCGACCCTCGGCCTCGCTTTAGTCGCTCACTCTCTTGACACAACGTACGAACAAATTGCTACCCCTCTCTCTCTCGACTCGACTCTCGGCCTCGCTTCAGTCGTTCTCTCGACTCTCGACCGCTCTCATCTCAAAATCTGATGACTTGTGACTTGTGAGGTTAGGGTTACTTACTTTACTTATTTTATGTTTTTAATTATTGTTTGATTATTTCATAATCTAGATGAAGCTGCCCTGCCTACTTAGGTTTTCTTTTAAGTTTTAAAGATGTAATATTGTATGTATCATGCATGCCTACTTAGGTTTTCTGTAAACAACATTACAATAAAGTTGCCCTGCCTACTTAGGTTTTCTTTTAAACTGGTTGGTACTTGTGGCTGTTCTTTTTTGCAATTTCTAAGTAAAATCCATGAAATGAAATGAGTCTGGTTACTCACTTCTGTTTTGCACAAGCCCACTTTTGAATATAAGTCCCTAACCTAGTCCAAATTGTAAGCATTTGGGACCATTTCATGGTCGGAGAGTTTTCGTCGGAGTTGTTGGGTGCCCTAATGTTTTACTTTTTAGGGTTGTTTAGAAGCTTTTTAGGAGTTGTTTTGAAGCAGATTAGTATAGAACAAAGACTTAAGATTGATGTATAGGTAGACACTTCATATTTGTAACTGTTGTCTTATTGTTTGAAAAAAGGTCTATTAAGGAAACTAATATCAAGAAGGCATCGTTTTAGGTGAATGATGATGTATTTTATATTTTGTTACACGAGGTTTTGGTTTATGTCCCCCCCCCCCCCAACCACCCGGTTGCATCATTTTTTGTTATATTTAAAACAAATCGACGTGGGGATGAGCCGCCTAGATTGACTAGGTTCCAAACCCCTTCAAATAATTTATTTTGGTTTTTATATACACATGTAAGAAACATTTTTTTGACTTTCCACTATGGGCATTCAAAATCTCAAAACCGACCCTGCTCATTGTATTGCACGAATACTCTTCTAGTAATTAAATAAAGAAAAGATTGCCATTTATTCCACGAATTAAGCAATAGAAGAGTGGAATTGGACCCATACAAACACGTTGAACAACCACACTTGACAAATAGGACCCACTTTCCCAAAATACCAAAAATACCCCAAGAACCTTCCTCTATGTTTCTCTTTTCTTTTTATATTTTACTCCTATTATTATTAATTAATTATTCTTTTAACTTTTATCGGAAGTTTCTCTTTGCTTAGCTTGCAGTATAAACCAGCAAAGACTAAAAGTAATGGGGTCCGAATTTAATATTCCAATACTTGGGGGGGTTTCTAACTATAATTCTTAATTATTAAGGGGCTCAAATGCAAATATATGAAAGAACCCCCCAAAGGCTGTAATTGAATTTGGACGCAATTAAGCTTGACTCATTTAATGAATGAGTCTAATATTGAATGTAGTCGCATTCAAGTCGAGTCATACCATCAAGTACAGCAAGTCGTTAAGTTAACATATATGTATATTTTCTTAAAATATAAGTGATTCTAAGTATAGGAAAACTTCGTCAAAATGCAACCAACTTTCATCTGATTTTTATTTTGGGAAACCAACTTTTAAAATTATCATTTAAGAATTTGGAGCAAAGTTTCATTAATTTAAGGATATAGTTTACCTGTTCAGTAGGTAACTGGTTAGCTTCAAATGACATTGGCAAAAAAAGGTCCACATTATCAACTAATTTCCATGTCATCAAAATAATTATTATGAAAGTTTATTAGGGGGTGTTTGGGATTGCTTATAAAAACAACTTATTGACTTATTCCGGTATGACACCGGTAATAATCACTTTTGAGTATGTAGATAAACAACTTACACCGGTGTCAAAGCGGTAATAAGAAGTTTTTGAAGAAGTTAAACTCTTCTGACTTATAATAAGTTGATAAGTGCTTTTGTAGAAAAGCATAAGTTGTTTCAAATAAGTAATCCCAAGCACCCCCTTAATCAATCCGCATATGATGA